CATGTCATACATCTAAAACTAATATAATGTTATATGTCAGTCATATATCAATTTTTAAATAAATTACCAAAATAGAAAAAGAAAAGGTTTGCGTTGAAGAAGAAGGATTGCTCTGAAAATGAAGACACTCATTAATTTAAATCTAATTTAAAAATTTTTGAAAGTTCTTTAGAGGAAGAAATTAAAATTAAAGTAATCTTATTTTATTATATTTTATTATTAAATTCACTTAAATTTATTTACAAGATGATATTTAGTTTAATTTAGTTAAATTGTATTTAACTTCTTACTCTTTCTGACTGAATCAGTCATTTGGAACCTGTGTGCTGGTTTACTTCTGGAAACATGGCAAACCGCTAATGGCTCATCTCCCCTTATATGTGTATAGATATGCCAAATAATGTAAAATAACAAAACCCCTACCTTCTCCCCAGCTCTAATAACAAACTAAAACCCCTGTAATTTTTCCTATAAAGAAAGAAGTAGAGAGGGAGGGAGGGACAGAGGGAGGGAGGGAGGGAAGGAGAGAGAAACTGGCTCCAGCTGAAACAATAGGTACTGTCACATATCTTAGACCAAACACAGTAATCCGAATAGATATTTCTGTGCTCTGATAAGGATATTATTATTAGCTCTTTTTATGGGTAGACCTGTGGTTACTCAAATTGGGAGGGACCCTTTATCCTATGGAGAACCTTCGGGCCCGAGTTAGAATTGATGGAGTTTATCACAGTCTTGTCTTAGAACCTTAAGTCTTACTCTGGAAAACTACTTATTTATCCCAAGGATATTTAGACCTTGGGTTGTGTAATTTGGGAATAATTATTATTTTATATATGTATATGAGAGAGAGAGGCTATATAACTATACATAAATCCTCATTCCTTCCTTTCTCCAACCCCTGGTAACCTCTAATTTACTTTATCTCTGAATTTGCCAACTAGAGATATGTCATGTAAGCGGAATCATGTAATATTTGTCCTCTGGTGTCTGGCTTACTCACTTAACATAATCTTCTTAAGATTCATCCAGGTTGTAGCATGAATCAGAACTTAATTCCTTTTTATAGCTGAATTAATACTCTACTGTGTTTATGTATCACATTTTTTTAAGTCTGTTCATCAAATGATGAACACTTGGTTTGCTTCTGTCTTTTGGCTGTTGTGAATAAGTTGCAGTGAACACTGGCACTCAAGTATCTGTCTGAGCCCCTAGAAAAGCATTTTGCAAACTGAGAAATGTACAGATTCTTTTTTTAGAAATGATTGGTCATCTGAATTTCCAATGTTGACTAAAATTATTTCAGTGTAACTTGAATATACACAAACATAAAACTAAAAAATTCTTATGCTATTGCTCTTGTAAAATCAAAACAAACTTTTTAATTGAATAAAAATAAAACTATAAAGTGAACAATTTTCATAAAATTATATTTACTGAAAATAAATGGATTTTGTTTAATAGTGTAAAAAGAAAAATTTATGTTTTTTGGCACAGTGGACCATTATCTTAGCCTTCATTATTATTACATTTGCTTTTTAACAGTGAACTTATTAAACCACTAACACATTATTTTGATGAGCAGTCTATTTGCAAGAGTGTCACAGAATATATATCTGGAAGAAAATGGGGAAACAACAATTTAAGGAAAAATTATTTGTATATTTACTAACTGAAACAATAGGTACTGTCACATATCTTAGACCAAACACAGTAATCCGAATAGATATTTCTGTGCTCTGATAAGGATATTATTATTAGCTCTTTTTATGGGTAGACCTGTGGTTACTCAAATTGGGAGGGACCCTTTATCCTATGGAGAACCTTCGGGCCCGAGTTAGAATTGATGGAGTTTATCACAGTCTTGTCTTAGAACCTTAAGTCTTACTCTGGAAAACTACTTATTTATCCCAAGGATATTTAGACCTTGGGTTGTGTAATTTGGGAATAATTATTATTTTATATATGTATATGAGAGAGAGAGGCTATATAACTATACATAAATCCTCATTCCTTCCTTTCTCCAACCCCTGGTAACCTCTAATTTACTTTATCTCTGAATTTGCCAACTAGAGATATGTCATGTAAGCGGAATCATGTAATATTTGTCCTCTGGTGTCTGGCTTACTCACTTAACATAATCTTCTTAAGATTCATCCAGGTTGTAGCATGAATCAGAACTTAATTCCTTTTTATAGCTGAATTAATACTCTACTGTGTTTATGTATCACATTTTTTTAAGTCTGTTCATCAAATGATGAACACTTGGTTTGCTTCTGTCTTTTGGCTGTTGTGAATAAGTTGCAGTGAACACTGGCACTCAAGTATCTGTCTGAGCCCCTAGAAAAGCATTTTGCAAACTGAGAAATGTACAGATTCTTTTTTTAGAAATGATTGGTCATCTGAATTTCCAATGTTGACTAAAATTATTTCAGTGTAACTTGAATATACACAAACATAAAACTAAAAAATTCTTATGCTATTGCTCTTGTAAAATCAAAACAAACTTTTTAATTGAATAAAAATAAAACTATAAAGTGAACAATTTTCATAAAATTATATTTACTGAAAATAAATGGATTTTGTTTAATAGTGTAAAAAGAAAAATTTATGTTTTTTGGCACAGTGGACCATTATCTTAGCCTTCATTATTATTACATTTGCTTTTTAACAGTGAACTTATTAAACCACTAACACATTATTTTGATGAGCAGTCTATTTGCAAGAGTGTCACAGAATATATATCTGGAAGAAAATGGGGAAACAACAATTTAAGGAAAAATTATTTGTATATTTACTACAACAGTTTCATTAATGAACTGTTGGCAGGTTCGTATAAAGGCAAATCCACAGAATATATCCACTTTCTATGAGGTAGTAGCACAGTGTTTTAGTGCAGAATTTGGTTAATTTCACTGTTATTTCTATTGGAGTTTGCTTGAATTGTGAACATCATGATATCATTTGGCTTTCATTTATTGCAAAGACCACTTATGTACTTAGTTTACTTCTGTTTACTATTAGCCCATTTCCCTGAATCTAGTACAGAACTCTAAAGTAGTATGTTGTTTTCATGATAAATCAAATTCTTAGTTTATTAAATTAGAATGTAAATTCCATAAAATATCTTTTACTTGCAAATTATACTGCAAGAGTGTAGTTTTTCATAATTATGAAAATTCTTAAATGAGTACATCAGTGGGACACAAGATAATGGTTGTTATATTGACATTAGCCTGTGCCTACTCAAGAGCTATTAGATATGCTTCCTAGCACTTAAAAAGATAAATTCTGTCTCTCCCAAGTTAGCACTTGGCATTATCTTAAATGTAAACATGCAAATTAACTAGTACATTGAAAATCCCATGTCATACAGAGTATAAGATGCAATCCAAGGATTCAGAATATTCTTGCATTTTTTCTTTTTTGATATAAACATTTTTAACAGTCACAGCTTAGATACCCCAAATATACCAGAACATCCCAAAGATAACATTTCCCCATTTTGACAAATGCTGGTCCAAACATTAATGCTTTATTCACATTGAACTCTAATGCTATATGCACAAAGAGTTGCTCTGCCAGTTAAAAATGAGGACCTTATGAGTTTCAAACTTCATTTAGTAATTCTTGATGAGAAATAGATTTTCCATACAGATAAATAATCGCACTGCTTAATTAATGCATTTTCTTCCTACTTGGAGAACTAAGTATGAGAAGAAGCTTGTTTGATGGACACGGAACCTCTGTACACAGTAAACACTCGGTGAGGGAAGGTGTCATTTTGCTACACCAGCTTCAACACCTGTGTTACTAAAAGAAAAACATTGTCAAATCTGGATAAATGTCTCATCCAAAAAGTGGTAATTTTCCTTTCTCTCTATTCCACATTGACTCTGCCAATCCTCACACTTCTGTTTTCTACTGAGTTACACCACCTAAGCAAGCTTCATAGTGTTTTTACTAAGTTTAGTAAATATAATTTCTTTTTTTACCATGTCACCCTGCAGGACTATTTTCTAGTATTTAATACATTTCAAAATGTAAAGTATGGCTTCCCAGTCAAATCACCACTGAAGGTCAAGAATCCACCTTTATACCCTTTACAGTGCCTTGCATGTAGTACAAGAGCAATAATTTACTTTGAATGAATTATTAGATAAATAATATAAATGGATACTACCTGAATCTAACTAAATTTTGTCATGACGACTCATCCAACTGATAGAAGTTCAGTCTTCCTGAAGTTAGGGACATTATACAGAAAAATATATTTGACTATCAGGAAGATAGTAAATATGGTATCTCCTCTCTTCAGAGATCCTCCTCCACTACTAGTCACATCCCGCTGGCTTGTGAGTAAGCACCTCTGTTGTTGCCACTTTAACCCCATTTCCTTTTTCAATTTTCAGGAAACTTCAATAGAAATTATTAAACTTTCAAGAATACTGCTAGGCAGCCAACTCACAGACTCCAAGAAGGGACTAGCGGTTACCAAAGGGGAGGGGCCGGGTAGGGCGGGTGGAGAGGGAGAAGGGGATTGAAGGGCATTATGATTGGCACACAAGGTGTGGGGGAGATCATGGGGAAAACAGTGTAGCACAGAGAAGACAAGTAGTGACTGTGGCATCTTACTACACTGATGGGCAGTGACTGCAGTGGAGTATGGGGGGGACTCGATAATATGGGTGAATGTAGTAACCACATTGTGAAACCTTCATAGGAGTGTATATCAATGATACCTTAATAAAAAAATATATACGTCACATCATACTATTCTTAGTTGTAAAATCCTCCAGTGGCTTTTGAATAAACTAAGGATGATGTTTAAAAAAAAAAATCTAAACAGTGCTGCTAGGGACAGTTTGCAGCATCACATACATGTTGAGCACATATGTATCTTGTAAATGCATGTAAAAGAAAACTGAATAGGAGAGCTATTGCATAATATTTTTATAAATGTGAAATTTCATGCAATTTTGTATTTGATTTTGGTGCAGGCAGAAATACTCAGTGTCCTCAGTCACAGAAACATCATCCAGTTTTATGGAGTTATTCTTGAACCTCCCAACTATGGTATCGTCACAGGTAGGAACTCATTATTAGATTGTTTCTTTCCCCAATTACCTAGCTTTAGATTCCTTGATATGGTAAAATGCTTAATATTAGGTTCAGTAATGAATTGTGTGCTACCGTCAGATACCACTTTTGTTGCTATAAAGCATTAATAAAACTGATTATATCAATATAATTAAGAATAGTGTTTCCACTTCTACCCATGTTTAATTGTGCTAATTATATCTGTGTAAATGCTATTTAAATGCACTTGCAGCTGCAATACCAATATTTAAAGGTGTCGTTTAACTAAAATTTCATTTAATTAGTTGAAATGAGTGATGTTTTTTGTAACTCTGTGACCTTTTTACAAATTAAGATTTCTTGAGCTATTCATGTCATAATTCTTTATGAGGCATTTTAATCCCATTAGAGCATTTTTTCTGCAAGGTCTCTGACATAAGAACAATATTTTTCAGGTTTGGTCATCTGGGTTGGTAATGACCTTGAGCTAAATTGTCACATAATTTGGAGCAGCAGTTTATATCTGATGGAAATACCCTTTCCAAGAAGGAGCACACAGAAAATTTTACCATTAGAAAAACATGGAAAGACATATTTTTAAGACTTTATACTCACATTTGCACAATCCAGTGAGCAGCTTTGTCTATACTAAATACAGTGTTCGCTTTTACAATAAATAACTTTAAATAGGTTCTTTATCATGGCAGTTCATTTATTAAAAAAAAAACAAACAGGAAAACCTTAAAAGATTAACCCTGTCTTCTACAGTACTGGTAAGAATTTGGATTGTCTTTTCTTCTTCTACAGTAGTGGTAAGAATTTGGATTGTCTTTATAGCAAATAAAAACAAAATACCCTCAATAAAAAGGATTGGATTAGGCATTTTCTTATAAATTATCTCATCTAATACTTACAGTAACCCTATGGGAAAGGTAAAATAATTTCTATTTTACAAATAAGAAACTAGAACTCTATACTTAGGTAACTTTCCCAAGGTCACCCAGCTAGTGCTGACCCAGAATAATATAAATTTCTCAGAAGCATTTTTATACAGAAGCTCTTCTTATATGCAAATAGGTCCTAGAAAGCTGGGAGCATGTTGTTTCTTAAGCTTGAAGCGATATGGTTGCTGTTGCTTCTATCTTCTGATGGCATGCAGTTTGACATGCTTTTACTCTGATAACACTTTTACCTAAATTCTTAAATGGGTGGAGTTTTATTCCCAGTTAGCTGTCTTCAGATCAATGCTAAAATAGGGTATGTGGGAGTTTTATCTTGAGCCTATACATTTCCTGTTGACGTGAATTCCAAAGAATGGGTTATATTGTTAGGATGTAGACAATGTTTAACTTTTTAGGCCGTATTTCTGATTTAAAGCTAAACCCTTACTCTGATCCAGTTACCATATTGCTCCTCCTTTCCTGTCCATCGTATGTACTTTTTATTGGTTATTTCTCTCTACCTTACAAATCTTGAGTCCAGCCTTCTGATCATCATTTGTGGCTTTAATTATCCCTCTCTAGCAGATGAAAGACAGTGTGGCCTTCCAAAGAGAAACTCTGCTTCCTGTCTGTACTCTTGATGTTTAATCCTTTACAAGGGAAGATTTTAGCTTTAACTAACTCAATGGACTATTCATCTAAGATTATCATTGTAATTTTATGCCATTGGACTGATAACTATTATATAACTTTGATACCAAAATAAAAATTACACAAAAACATAAATAAAAATACAATTCTTATCCCCTGTGATAATTAATATTTTGTTATGAGTATTAGTATTTTTCCCAAGGAATAGTTTCTCACGATAGCGTACATTAATTACATGAATTGCTTTAGTTTCAGAGGATCATTGCTACACCTCGTATTGTTACAGAGAGAAGAAACTTTATAAAACTATTTGTTGAGATCATATAGATGTTACCATTATTATAAGTCATTAAAGATAGAATGGGGTAATTTTCAGCCTCCCAAAATGAGATTCATTTGTAGAACATCTTTCTACAAATTGGCCTTTAATATATAAAATGGAATTTTCTGGAAGGGACATGCAGCTATGGATGAATTAGGTCAGCAGATCCTCTCTCTGAAAGCATCTATAAACCTGCACAAAATTTTTGGCACCCTGGAAACTGACCAAACACATATATCAATCTAGGAAGTGTTTATACTTTAAAAACTGCTAAATTTTGGGCAATAATAGTGGGATTCAGCAGTGCTGCTATCTGGGATCTTTCTTGTTCTTCTCCTACTCCCACCCCGCCTCAGCAGGAAGGGCAGGCTGTGAGGATGGGCGGCTTTGTTGCCATAGTCAGTGTGTGCTCACTGGATTTAGAACAATGAGTAACGCCCACATCGCAGCATTGTTAAGAGAAGTAACAACCCTGGTGGCCGGTGAGCAGAAGGGCCAACGACTCTGTCAGCCTGAAAAGGGTTGTGATTGGGGCAAATATATTCCAGGCTGAGGTCATACATATGCAGAAAGGATAATGAAGAGGGCCCAAGCTGTCCATACACCCTTGTCAGCCCTGAGGCTACATGAATATGAAAAGGAGACAGAAAAGGTCTGGTGGAAAGTAAAATCTAGGGTGTATTTTAAATGTCCTTCCACTACTTAAACACAGATCCATCAACCCAGGCACAACTTCTTTATAATCATCAGCTTATTATTAACCTGTGTAGATACAGGACAGCGCCTATAAAAGGCCAGGCTTTAGAAATAAGATTAAAAAATAAGCATAGAAATGTGTGGTCCATTGTAGGGAAGACAGATTTCATAAACTTAGCCCAAGCAAGTATTATTAGCAAACAAGAAGCAGAAAACATCAAGAACAACTTTCAGGGAAAAGTCAAAAGCCAGAGTTGCTATATACATTATGTGAACTGTACAATTTTTTATTTTAATTATAAGACATGTAAAGAAACAGAATGTTTGACCTACGTTCAGGACTAAAGGCCCCAGATACTGGTTTAACATATAAAGATTTCAAAGCATCAATAAGTTCAGAGAACTAAAGGAAAACAATGAATCAAACAATAGGGAATCTTATCAAGTAAATAGAAATTAATTTTTTTACGAAAGGACCCCATGAAAATTCTGAAGTTGAAAATGACAGTAATTAAAATGAAAATTTCTCTGGAGTGATCTAACAGCAGAAGGAAAAAAAAAAATCAGTGGACTTAAAATTGGGTCAACAGATATTACCCAGTCTGAAAAAGAGAAAAAATCTGAAGAAAAATAAATGGAACTTCAGAGACCTATAGGACATCAGTATACCAGTTAATGTATAATAGAGAGGAGAGACAACAGGTAGAAAAATATACAAAATGAAAAAAGTAGAAAAACATTTGAATAAGTAAAGGCCAAAAAAAAGTCCTGCATTTGATAAAATACATTCATTTACTTACTTGAGAAGATCAACAAAATCCAAGTAGGATAAATGCAAAAGAACCTACAACTAGACACATAGTCAAACTGTTGACCTTTAAAGACAAGTGAAAATCATGGAAGTAATAAGAGGGAAACCACTTCTCACATACAAGGGAACACCAATATGATTAATGGCTAACTTCTCATCCACAACAGTAGAGGCCAAAAGGCAGTAGACATTTAAAATGCTGAAAAAAAATGTGTCCAGCAAAAGTATCTTCTAAAAATGAAAAAAAGTAAAAACATTCTTGACTAAAGATGAGAGAATTTGTTGCTAACAGTCCTGCCTTACAATAAATAGTAAATGGAGTTCTTTAGACTGAAAGAAAATGAAAACATGTAATAGTGCAAGTCCATGGGAAAAAAATAAAGGGCACTGGAAATTATAAATATGTGGGATAATATAAAATTCTCTGTAAACATATCTGTTCTCATTTCTTCTTTTAACATCTTTAAAAACATAAGATTTCATAAAGCAATAATTATAATGCTATTTTGTTAATTTTAAAACATGTGGAGATATGTTTCATAGTAATAGCATAAGCAGTGAGGGAGAGAATGGACCTATGTTAGAGAAAAGTTTTTATATTTGACCATAATTAAATTAGTAATAATCCTAAATAGATTGTGTTAAATTAAGATGCATTTTATAATCCCTTAAGCCACCACTAAGAAAGTCCACTCAAGAAATACAAAAAAAAATAAACTGAGAAATGAAATGATAAATAAAAAATATTAACACAGAAATGGGTGGTAAAAGAGGAACAGAGGACTGAGAAGGACAAGAGACATGTAAAAAACAAAATGGCAAAAGTAAATCCAAGCATATCAATGGTTACATCAAATGTAAATGGTTTAAATGCCCCAGTCAAAAGACGGAGATTATCCAGCTGGATAAAAAAGCAAGTCCAACTATACACTGTCTATAAGAGACACACCTTAGATTCAAAGACAAATAGTTTGAAAGTAAGAAGATATTAAAAAACATATCAAGCAAGCAATAACCATGAGAGAAATGGAGTAATTGTATTAATTTCAGACAAAATAGACTTAAGACAAGAAATATTACTAGAGACAAATAGAGTCATTTAATAATGATAAGAAGATCAAGACTTTAGGAAGATACAGCAATGGTAAATGTATATACATAACTAATAATTGGTCCTACAAGTACATGAAGCAAAAAACTGTCATATAAAGGAGAAATTGGAAATTCAGCAATAACTAATTTCAAATATGCCACATCAAATAATTGATAGAATGAGACAGAAAATCAACAAGGTATGTAAGATTTGACAAATACTGCCAACCAGCTCTACTTAACTCAAGGGGGCAAAGAAAAAAATCGTAATGGATTTTGGAATATTTTGGACAGAGAGAAAATTAAAATTCAGCATATAAAAATTATAGAAGGTAGATAAAATAATACTTGGAGTGAAATTTACAGCTTTAAACACCTTTGTCCAAAAATGTCTGAAACTGACAATCTAAGCTGCAACCTTAAAAAATTACAGAAAGACCAAAATGAATGCAAAGCAAGCCAATGAAAGGAAATAATAAAGACTAGAGCAGAGCAC